ACCACAGGACAAGCCACCACCTGGTCCTGTTCCCTCCTCAGGGCTGTTCTTCTGTGTGAACCCCTTGTTGCAACCACGGTGTCAACCCGTCTGTATGGCCCGCCCTGATGCAGGCCCCTCAGACCAGGGAGACCCTCTGGGATTGTAAGCGGTGTCTCTTGCTTTTAGAATTCTTCATCTGGATGATAGGGGTGGGTCACCCCAGGTGGGCAATGAGCCGGTCCACCTCATGCTACCCTGACACAGGCCCTGTCTGTCCTCCCCAATCAGACCCAGAGCTGTTAGCAGCACACCCAGCCAGAGGGGTCTTGCCTTGGATGGGCGAGTGACCTGGCACTGTGTGGATGGGTGAGGATGCTCAGCCCCACTCAGAAACCCGCTCGCAGGAAACCCTGGGCAGAAAACGTGCCAACTCACACCTCCCAGGCCCTTAGTGGGCTTGTCTGAGCCCAGGGCAGGCATACGGTGGTGGTAGTCACCACAGGCCCACTTCCTTCCTTGAGCCCTCAGGCCCAAGGCTGTGGGTGCTGGGCCCCAGCCCAAGGTCCCCAGGTGCAGGAGCTGTGGCTTCTGGATATAGGGCAGGAGTGGTGGTCTCAGATCCCTCCTAAGACCTGTCTCGTTAGGCCCTCTGGGGAAATTTGGTGAGGGACCCAGTGGCCAACACAGGATTTGGGGGCATGATGCCCATGGGGGAGGGGTGCTCCTATGGGCCATCCCGTGCCTCCTTCTCGGGCCCCAGATCACCAGCCTGTGCACAAGCCCCCTCTAGCCCTTGCAGCCCTGGAGTGACCCCGTGGCCATGCAGAGCCTCCAGTGCAGTGGCCCCGTGGTGGCCTCCTGTCAAGAGGTCAGTGGGAGGAAGGGTGAGTCCGCCCAGCATCAGGAAGCTGGGAGACACAGCTGGACAGGCCCAGGCCCTTCCCTGGGGCAGGTACCAGAGTGTAGGCAATACTACACCCTGCCCCCCACTCTCACTTCCTTTGTCTGAGGGTGGAAGAGAAAGGGAGATGGTCCTTTTTAACTCTTTCAAGACCAAATGATGTCCTGCTTTGAATTTTCTTGTGGTGTGTGTTTAAAACCACGTGTTTTCAGTAATGGAAGGCATTTTTTAAAAAATGAAAGAAAAAAAACTTGTTGAGGCCATCAAGGGGATCCCTGGCTGCACAGTGGTGAGGGGTTAGGCTGTTATCTGCAAGGTTAGGAGTTCAAAACCACCTTTGGGAGAGAGATGGGGTTTTCTACTTCCTTACAGAGTTACAGTCTCTGGGGCAGGGAGGAAAAAAAAAAAGAGCTGATACCAAGGGCTTAAGTAAAAAGAACATGTTCTAAAAAGGATGATGTACGCATGTGCTTGACACAATGGATGTATGGATTGTTCTAAGAGCTGTAAGAGCCCCCAATAAGATGATTATTTAAAAAAAAAAAAAAAGCTAGCCTCAGAAAACCCACAGGGTGGGGGCACAGGGTCCCTGTGAGTCAGCACAGGTTCCATGGGGGAGGGGGCTTGGTTCCCTTGTGTTTGGCAGAGCAGGACCCCAGGCCCTGGGGCCGGGGCGGGTGGGAGGAAGCCTGTTTCTTTAGGCTCACGCAATTACACAACTCGCAAGGAGAAAGCGCAGCAAACCTCTTGCCGGATGAAGCGTGACTGCAGGAAAGCGGGAAGGGGGCGGAAATGGACGGGTGCCTTCATTCAGACAAACATGGTCTGCCAAGCCAGGGCGCAGCCTGAAGAGTGATGGTGTGCGGGATAAAGCGCTGACGCTGCAGGCTGGCCATGACTCCCCAGAGGCTCCCAGCATCCTGTGGTCCCCCTTCCTTCTCGATTGCATAGACCCCTCATGGTGGTCATAGCCACCTAAGTCCAGACACAAAGCTGGTTATGTCACAGTCCAGAGGGGCAGCCTACGCCACCCCTGTGCTGGGGCAGGTCCACGGCTGTCCACCAGCAGCATGGTTTTCCTGGTCGGTCAGCCTTGAATGCAGCTAAAGCCGCGTGCGTCTCTTGGATCAACACTGGTCTCTGTTTCGGCCTCTTGGCCTCCATATTCAGGGAGTCTCTTCCTCTTCTTGGGCTTGAGGCCAAACAAGGGGTCACACATACCATCAAACAGATGTGGCCAGAAGCACCGGGATGTCCGAAAAGCCCGAATCTGGGTTGTGGTGCAGAACTGCCAGTGCACGGAAGGGGACTGAGTGAAAGTGTGGGCGGAGCATTTCTAAGGGCGGCTGGAGCATACAAAGGAAAGTGCTTGTATTGTAGTGAGGGGTACAGAGCGCCCAGGGCTGGCGGGGTTCCTCCCTCTGCTTGGTCACTGCTGCTCTCTCACGGACAGCGGAAGTACGCCAGCGGTCTCAGAGGCAGCCCCAAACGGTGGTGTTTGGTGAACAATAGCCTGCCTGAATCAAGAACACCCATAAAGCCACGGTGGTGAGAGAGAGAGAGAGAGAGAGAGAGAGCGAGCGAGCGAGCTGGCCACAGGCGGCCTGGCAGAGCGCCCTGGAACGGCGGGGTAAAGAAGCTGACGATGATTTGCAAGCTGCCCTTCCAGGGGCTGGTGCAGATCGTGCAGGACTTCAAGACGGACTTGAGGTTCCAGCGTGTGGACAGCAGTGGCCTGCAGGAGGCCAGCGAGGCACCCCTGGCGAGTCACCACTGTGTCCAGTGGACTCACCAGATGAGGAGGATGGGGTGGGGCGGGGAGCGAGCTTAGGCAGCAGGCCACTTTTTTTAATGGAGTTTTGTAGTGAATTCGGTAAAATACTTTGCGACTCGGG